TCACGGTCTTGCAAATGAAAACTCATACGTGCAAATTAGAAAATTTGAAGAGGTGGTTGCAACTTTCCACAATCAACGTGGTACAATCGATGCAGTCAAGCTTAAATTTTTTCCATTTTCTCTTAAAGAAAGAGCAAAGAGCTGGCTATATTCATTGAGACCAAGTTCGATTGGGACTTGGGCTGAAATGACTCAAATATTCTTTGACAAATACTTTTCCCACCACAAAACAACTACATTGAAAAAATAAATATCTTCTTTTACTCAAAAGAAGAGTAAAACTTTATATCAAGCGTGGGAAAGGTACAAAGAATTGCAAGCCCTCTGTCCCCACTACGATTATGAAAGTTGGCGCACTATGAGTTATTTTTATGAGGGATTATTACCTAAGGAGTGTCAATTTGTTTAAATGATGTGTAATGGTGAATTTTTGCAAAAAGATCCAGATGAGGCTATGGACTACTTAGACGACTTAGCCGAGAAAGCCTATTCCTGGACTGGACCTAGTGTTACTGAGAGTACTAATAGGTTACGACCTACTAGAAACCCGAATACCACAGGTATTTATAGTCTTAGGGAGGAAGATAACCTTAGAGTAAAGGTAGAAGCGCTTACTAGAGAACTTGGAAACCTGCGTGCTAAGAATTCAAAAACCACTCGATATGTTTCCCATGTTGAGTCTTTAGAGCCTTGTTTTGTGTGTTGAGGGAGTGATCACCAAGTACAGGAGTGTTGCTACTTATGCTGAAATGATGAGACTTTATGAGGAACACTGTAATACTCTAGGCATATATCAAAAGCCCTATACACCTTTCCCCGAGGCTTACAAACCAGGGTGGCAAAATCACCCAACTTTAGCTGGGAGTCTAAAAACTAACAACATGCCCAATCCAATAGAGCTTACAATGTACCCCCAACATAAACCTACATTATCTAGGAATTCCTTAGAAGATACTTTATATTCATTTATTAAGGCACAGGGTAAAACAAATAAAAAATTTGAGACTATGATTAGCCAATTAGTTGAGGAAAATAAAGAGATAAAGAATCATGTCTCCAAACTAATCAATGCCTTAGCTGTAGGGGAACATGGGGAATTTCTAGTTCAAGCTCAACCAAATCCAAAGGGCCAACACATGGCACAAACTTTGGGATCGGGAGAGACCAACTTTAAGGAAGTAAATGCCATAACAACTAGATCTAGGAAAGTCGTTGAACCAGCCATTCAATCTAGGGAGAATGAAAAAGAATCAAGTGAGTCTAATTAGAGTAGCCCCAGTGAAGAAGTAGTCGAAACTCCAGTTAGTGTACCTTTCCCTCAAACCCTCAAATCTACCTCGAAGTCAACCACTCAACATAATGAAATCCTAGAGCATCTTAAACATGTAAAAATCAATTTACCTCTCTTGCATGCGATCTCTCAAGTTCCTACATATGCTAAAGTTCTTAAAAAATTATGCACTATGAAGAGGAAATATCATGTCAAGAAAATCACTTTCTTGACCGAGCAGGTGAGTGCTGTGATAGAGCAGAGGATCTCACCAAAGTATAAGGACCCTGATTGTCCTTCCATCCTTGTGTCATTGGGAACCGTTAGTTTGCACAAGCCTTTCTTGATTTAACTGCTAGTGTTAACCTCATGCCTTATGCTATATACTTGTTGTTAGGTGTGAGAGAGATGAAACCTGCCTTAGTAGTCCTTCAGTTAGCTGACAGGTCGACCTTAACACCTAGGGAGTAGTTGAGGATGTGCTAGTTCGGGTTGATAAATTTTACTACCCCGTTGATTTCTTGGTACTAGATGTGAAGGTTGAGGTGAATGTTGACTCTAAAATCCCAATTATACTTGGTAGACCTTTCTTTGCTACAACTAATGCTCTAATCAATTGTAGGAATAGTTTGATGAAGCTGTCTTTTAGGAATATGACTCTAAAAGTTAATATTTTTCATGTCACCAAGTAACCTAGAGAAGAAGATAAATCTCATTAAACCTACATGATTGATGCATTAACGCAGGAGGAAGAATCTACAAAAATTGAGTATAATCCCTTGAACTCTTTTCTCCTAAACTTTGAAATCTCAATTGGTTCTGATATTGATGAATATGCGTTATTTGTGTTGTTTTTGCAAAGTTGCAAGACCATAAGACTTCGCCATGGAAACCCAAGATTGAAGAGTTGCCCAAAATGACTGGATGACAAAAACCATCAAGCATTGAGAGACCTAAGCCAAAATTGAAACAACTACCCACAGGACTAAAACATGTATTCATTGGACCAGGTGATACCTTTCTTGTACTTATTTCTTCAGAATTGAATGCTTTGCAATGTGAACAGCTTTTGAGCATTTTGAATGAGCATAAAACTACATTAGGGTGGACCATAGCTGATGTCAAAAGTATTAGTCCTTTAATTTGTTCACATAGGATTCATCTAGAGGAAATGACTAACCTCAAGAGAGACCCACAATGTACGCTAAACCACACAATGAAAAAAGTGGTTAAAAATGAAGTACTTAAATTACTAGATGCAGGAATCATTTACCCAATTTCAGATAGTAAAGGTGGTCCCTAAAAAGTCAGGTGTCACGTTAGTTAAAAATGAAGTGGGTGAACTGGTCCTCACAAAAATAGTAACTGGTTGGGGCATGTGCATTGATTATAGGAAGTTAAATGCTATCACTCACAAGGACCATTTTCCTCTCCCTTTTTTGGACCAAATACTCGAACGTGTAGCTGGTCATCCCTTTTATTACTTCCTAGATGGATACTCTGGTTACCATCAAATTGAAATAGCTTTAGAGGACTAGGAAAAGACCACATTCACATGTCGTTTTGGTGCTTATGCATTTCGCAGGATGTCATTTGGACTTTGTAATGCCACTGTGACCTTCCAAAGATGCATGATGAGTATGTTTAGTGACATGGTAGAGGATTATATGGAAGTATTATGCATAACTTAACTGCGTTTGGAACCTCTTTTGATGCACGGTTGTTGAATTTACAGAGAGTTTTGGCTAGATGTGAAAAAAGGCTTAGTTTTGAATTAGGAAAAATGTCACTTCATGGTACCTTCCGGTATTGTCTTTAGGACATGTCATTTCTTCAAAAGAGATAGAGATTGATAAATCAAAGATTGAATTGATTTCTAAACTACCCACACCTAAGACAGTAAAGGACATTAGATCATTTCTTGGTATGCAGGTTTTTATAGGAGGTTTATACAAAATTTCTCATCTATATCTAAACCCCTATGTAACTTGCTTAACAAAGATGTGATTTTGAATGGACACCTAAATGTCAAAATGCTTTTGAACTGTTGATTGGTAAACTGACCTCCACATCTATAATGCAACCACCTGATTGGACATTGTCATTTGAAATTATGTGTGATGCTAGTGATTTTGCGGTAGGTGCTGTTCTTGGGCAACGAAAGGAAGGTAAACCTTTTGTGATTTATTACGCTAGTAGGACTCTAAATAGTGCTCAAATGAACTATTCCACTACTGAAAAAGAGTTGCTAGCTGTAGTCTTTGCACTCGATAAGTTTCGATCCTATTTGATTAGTTCTTCGATTACCATTTTTACAAATCATGCAGCCCTTAAGTATCTTCTTGCAAATAAGGATGCTAAAGCATGATTAATATGGTGGGTTTTACTTTTGCAGGAATTTGACATCACCATCAATGACAAGAAGGGAGTGGAAAATGTCGTAGCAGACCATCTATCAAGATTGAGATTTGAAGACACCTCAAACACCATGCCAATTAGAGATGAATTTCCTAATAAGAATCTATTCTTTGCCTCTTCTTTACCCTGGTTTGCTAACATAGTAAATTACTTGACTACAGGTGAAATTCCAAAGGAATAGAGCGCACAAGATAAGAGAAAGTTCTTAGTTGAGGTACGTAACTTTTATTGGGATGGTCCTTGTTTATCTAAGTATTGCCTCGACCAAATCTTAAGACGTTGTGTTCCTGATGAGGAGATACCTAATGTACTAAATTTTTGTCATACCCAAGCTTGTGGAGGCCACTTTTCTTTGAAAAAAGACCACTGCAAAAATTTTGCAATGTGGTTTTTATCGGCCTACTTTGTTTAAAGATACTGATACTTATTATAGATCTTGTGAGATGTGCCAAAAACTAGGTGCTATTTCCCGACGTAATATGATGTCTTTAAATCTCATTTTGATAATTGAAGTGTTTGATTGTAGGTACATTGACTTCATAGGACCCTTTCTACCTTCTTTTGGCTACCTTTATATCATTGTGGTGGTTGATTATGTGTCTAAATGGGTAGAGGCAACTACTTGTAGGGTCAAAGACAATAAAACGGTTGTTAAGTTCCTTAAAGAAAATATTTTGTCTCGATTTGGCACACCACGCGTCCTTATTAATGATAGAGGCACACACTTTTGCAATCGTTCATTTAAGGCACTGATGAAAATGTATGGGGCTATTCACAAAATTTCCATCGCTTATCACCTCCAAACTAGTGGACAGGTAGAGTTGGCCAATAGGGAGATTAAACAAATTTTAGAGAAGATGATGAGCCCCAATCTTAAAGATTGGTCATTGAGACTACATGATGCACTTTAGGCCTACCGCACAGCTTTTAAGATTTCCTTAGGCATGTCACCTTATAGGCTTATATTTGGAAAGCCTTGTCACTTATCTATCGAACTTGAGCACTAAGCCCTTTGGGCTATCAGTAGTTCAACTTTGATGTAATAGAGGGAGGTAAACATAGAAAATTTCAATTGAGTGAGTTGGAGGAACTAAGAAATGATGCCTACAAAAGTTCTAGAATCAAAAAGTCGAAAATGAAAGCATTTCATGATAAAAATATTTTTAGAAAAACTTTTGAACCGAACCAGAAAGTGTACTTGTATGATTCTAGACTTCATAAGCATACAAGAAAACTTCGTTCTAGATAGACTTGCCCATTTATGGTAACACAAGTTTTGAAAATAGGGCTGTTGAAATAGAAGATCCCAATGATGGTAGGGTATTCAAGGTAAATTAATAGAGACTCAAAATAGCCTATGGGCAACAGGTGCCTGCAGTGGAAGAAATTTCCTTAGCAAACCCGGTTTACCGCCCATGACAACCTTTGGGTATGTCTTTCACCCTTTTTGTATACTAGTTTTTAGATTTTTCTTTTATGTATTTTCCATTTTTCTTTCAGTTCATTTTCATTTCGTGCATCACCCATTTCCATTGAGAACCTTCAGGTCCACCATATTCAAACTTCTATTGATTCACTACAATATCCATGTGACATCTTTCCCTTCTTTTGGTCGATATATTTTTGCATTGAAGACAATGCAATGTTTAGTTGGGGACATTGTATTTGAAATTTTCTTGTGAATTACATGATTTTCATGGAATGTTAGTTTTGTTTTACTAAATTGGTCTAAAAATTTTCCTTCTCTATTTGCTATATATTTATGTTCTTGAATGACAAAATATGCCACTAGAAGTTGATATTGTTCATGTGACTCTAGATTTTGAGACACTTGCAGAATCATTTTGTGCACATAAGCCTTATGATAAGATAGTGGCTTAACACATGTATCTAGATGAGTCTCTTGCTGAAGTTTTCTTGTGAGAGAATTGGTGAGGATTGAGAGCCATGTATACTAAAAATGGTAATAAGCATTCCTTGATTTTGTGAATTGGAAACTTCTTCTGAGAATAAACATTACACGATATGTGGTAAGATGGTGGATTATACTTGGGAAAAGATAACAGTCAATTTAGGATTGAAGTTGAGCCTTCAAACTAGTTCTTCTCTTTTCATAATTATAATCTTCTAGTTGCCACTTTGAGCCAATAAACATATAATCGTTTCTTTTAATGCACCTATGTTATCCATACCCTTCATATCGGAATAAACTCTATAAACATTCATTTTTCAAATCTTTATGCTTTCAAGTGTATAGTAGGTATTAAATGTCATTTCTAAAGAAAAGCAACGAAGAAAAGTGATGAGAGTTGATAAGTGCTCATGTGAAGTGATGAATCTTAAAAGAAGAAAAATGAGAATTCCAAAAAAAGTTATAATAATAATAATAATAATAATAATAATAATAATAATAATAATAATAATAATAAATCGCAAAAAGTTGATGAGAAAAAAAAGAAAGTGAATTGCTATTGAGAATTGAAAGGTTGAGGAATTCATTGATGTAAAAGATTAATATGTTGAAATACTTGTTGAGATGCCTAGTTGGATACTTGAAAGTCCTTAAATTCTTTTTGTCCTACTTTTCATGTAACCCAACTTAACCCTTTTTACACCCTTTGCATTGACTGTTTTGATCTTAAGTAGGGTTTTGGTAAGAAGTTGATGAATTCCCAGTTGATAGTGTGCCTGTCATGTGATCAATATGTACTTGTTGCTTGTTCATAAATTTTAAGCCTCTATGTTCTGATAGTACATCTTTCTTAGCTCCATAAGAGAAAACCGTACTATACACTTTGATACTTGTGAGTTATAGGGCTGAACCTTCAACTTGAGACATACTTATTGTTACTTGTGCTAGGGTTGGTGGTAAGATGGTTATGGCTTGACACACACTCACATTTTTAGTAAGTGTTTTTGATATCTTGATGATCATGGCATTGCTAAATTCTTGTGGTGTTGAGTGTGAAAAGAACGTGAACTGCGGTTAAGTTGAAACTTAATGATTTCACTTGTATCACAATTTAACCATTCATTTGCTTATTCTGCATTGAATTGCTAAGGACTAGCAATAAGTAAGTTGGGGAGTATGATAAGAGTGTAAAATATAATATTTTCCCATCTTAATTATTACATTCGTGTGATTATTTGATACCAAAAAATGCACTCATTATACTTATGCTGTGATTCAGGTTGCATTCTGGTACAAAGGTGAAATTTAGAAGAAAAGAGATAGAAATGACCAAAATGGAAGTAAGTGAAAGTTCAGGGACCAAGTTGCAAATAATATAAAGATGAGACGGGCAATGGAATGATGATTCGAGAAAGCTAGGAGTCCATTGGGTGCAATTAAAATTTAAAAGAAGTTAAATATGACCATAATGTTTTCACAAATCAAATTACAACCGAATAAGGATTTTCTAAATTTTCAGCCAGAGATTTGGATCAACTTTTGACCGAGTAAATGTCTGAATTTGGAAATATATATTTAGCAAGTTGTAGCCCTTTGTCTTATCTTTCTAACGCACTTTGAATTTCCTTAATCAGACATTGGGAGATAAAGTTATGGTCAAAATACTGAAAGTAGTCGGATAGAATATTCTAGCCGAAAATTTAGTATTCTTATACGGTTCAACATCTTTTAAAAACAACTTGGCACATGGTTTTAAGCCATAAACTGGACAGAACACACATTTTCTTCACCTCCATAACAATTTTCTCTCATCTTGGACTAAAGAATTCGATGGAGAACTAAATTCCTAAGTGAAGCTACGAAGGAATTCATTGGATTTGACGACTTCACATCATTTATTCATGCAAATTGGTGTTTTTATTGTCAAACACTTCTAGATCTAGACTTTCTTTTATGAATTTACTTTGGAAATTGATTTAGCTTTTACTAGATTCTTCATAGATTCAATCGTGTTTTTTCTATTGTGAAATTCAACTAATTTCAATTTCAAACAACTTTTTTGGTGGATTTCTTAATCTTAGTCCAATAAGCATGTGTGTGAATGGTTTACAAAAGTCTAGATCCTAGGATTACAATTGAAATTTGTTCATTGTTAAATCTTCCGATTAAAGAGTTGGGATGAAAACCTCTAATTGACCAAAGCCATGAATTATTGATGTTGATGATGCAATCCAATTAAAGGAATTTGGATGCTTCATTAATCTCGCATATTGATAATTAAATCTCAGTCCAATTGACAAATTATTTTCACATAGTTCAGGAAATCTTAGTTCGATAAATCCTTTAAACAATTTGTTCGTCTCACTGTGGAATCGACACCTCAAAGTTGTGCTACAACTACCGCGTTATTCTTTGGACGTAATCAGGCATCATCTCATAGCCATATCTGGCGAGTATTATCAGTTGATGGATCTTTAATTTGATGATTGTTCATAAAAATACTCCACAGATAAATCGAAACTATCTTACACCAATATAAAGAATTTGGACCAACCAACTTATGCTCTGTGATTTTGGAAATCACTAGAATGACATTAGTCGTAACTAAATTCTTTTGCTTGTCAACCATAGAAAAAAACCTCAAGATCCAAAACAAAATGATATTGTCCCAAATCCAACAAATAATAGCCCAAACAACCAAAATTAATTTCTTTAGAACCTCACTGCACAGTATTTGGCCTAAGATAACTAATCCAAACTAAAGGAAATCATCTTTAGCCCAATAACAGTCCACAAATCCAACGATCTGCATTCCCTACTACTAAGACCATCGAAATTATATCAACCGTGTATCGATCAAGTTGTCAGATTACGCTGTCGGCCACCTATGCAAAACTTCGAGACCACTAAATCACCATAGATGTTGTCGACCAATGCCAATCGAATTGAAGACGTTGACAACACCAAAGAAATAGAAAAATTGATGGAAATTCCACAAAGCTTCCGTTCGAATCCAAAGAGTATCTACCAAAGCCAAGACAGCCAGAAAGAAGCACTCAAACAAGTTAAAAATTGGTTTTCAAAACCACGAGAATCAGTCCCACGAGAAAGTATTGAGGTATTTGATTTATAGCTCTAATACCATGATATCAAGAGAGAAAATAATTTCTTGATATTAATTCATAGGAAAAGGTACAAACATATTTACACACACACATATTAGGAAATCTATATTAGGAAGGATCCTAATTAGGGATCCCTGCAATTAAGGATATATATAATTCTACAGGTTATACATTCTATAACAATGGCAATCAACTCCCAAGACGCAACGACTATCCTATTGTGTTAGTAGCACTCCAAAACACAAGATCAGCAAACCAAAACCGAGTTTTGTACTCTTTATATGAACGAACAAAGAAAACTAGATTTTATGCAAAGTTTTATGTAGAAATTTAGTAGAGAAATAAGAGAATAATGTTATGCTCTGACTGTATATCATTTAGATAAATAAATGGACGTCTCAAGGGTCCTATTTATAGAGGATGAGGGATTGTGGGTGAAGTGATGCGAGCCAAACCTTGTAACTTTACAAAAGGAAACATCAGTTGCTATTGCTAGCCTTTCGTTGGCCTCTAGCTTGAGTGACAGTGTCAAAATATTAATAGAAACTTTTCGTTCACCTGTCGCTCGAGCAACGGGCTATCACTCGAGTGACAAGCGAACGATGGAGTTAGGCGATTTATAGGCTAGTTTTCCTCAATTTTCTTCCAACTTTGGACAGTAATTTCTCATTTTTTTCGAAATTTGTTTTAAGATTTCAAATATACCACGACAATCTACTCAACGAGTAGAACAAGTTAGTCTATTTATATTTGTAATCTGATTATTGAATCAAGTCAAAATATTTAGCCGAAGTTGACACGAAAGTCATTTCTCACATTTCTTGATTTTCATACTTAACCAAATATTTAATCTATTTAACCAAATTCCATCAAGTATATAGTCTAATAGATTAACAATTAAAACATAGGCAACCATCAAATACCAAAGACAAAATATAATAGTTTGCATACGTTGATTACTAAAATTAGATAGGAAAAATGTTGTAAATGGTAAATTTATTAGGGCTTACAAGTGAATGATAATTGTACCTGTGCAATCCTAGAAATTATTACTATTGTATTCCTAATTCTGCTCTATAAATATAGGCATTTGGTTCTTAATAAAATACACACAAATTTATTGACTTCTTTCTATTATCATGTATGCCAAAATTAATTTAATAACACGAAAATTTTACATATACATCTGTCAAAATCATATTATTTCTGTCGGGATACATTACCTCAATTTTTGCCTACCAATTACAACAATTCATACAATTTATTTTTTTCATGTCCTACAATTTATTTTTTTCATTTCCTACACAAATAAACTAATGAATTTACTACACTTATTCCATGTTCCTGTTTGCATCCAATTCACATACTAATACTAAAAAATTCTTTATGAAATTCACATGCATCTTTGGCCTCTTTCTTTTCTTACTAATACGTGTTGGTAAAGATTTAGCCTATAAGATTTAGTCGATTTTGTTACCTTCTATATATGAAGATTTTTTTTCTAATGCGTATTTGGTTATTTATACTCATGTTTGTATGGTAATTAATATCTTTAACATGATTAAATATTTTTAGATATTCTTATATAAATTTTAAATTAATAATTTATTATGTTGTTCGTCCTGAAGTAGTACAACTTTATTATTAATATTCTAGAAGAATATTAATTGTAGATTTGTCTGTTATAAATAATTTATTGTTGCTCTTGAAGTAACACAATGTTATAATTAATATTCTTGAATAATATTACTTACTCTTGAAGAGTATGAATTATTTTTTTCAATATTCCAGAAGAATATTGATATACTGCTCTTGAAGAAGTATTGATAAAATACAATGTGCTCTTGAAGTAACACATGCTTCGAAGAATATATTATTTTTTGAATTAGTGTTTACTCTTTAAGGGAAATATGTTACTCATGTCATGTTGGCATTGACTACTTGATTAATTATTATGTGATATAATCCGTAGTCATATTCTTCAAAGCTAATGGTATTTCTTTATTGTGTAATTAATCAAATGGCAAACATCACAAAACTTGAGTTTGTTGTACTTGACATATCTAGCGAAAACTATCTATCTCGAGTGCTCAATGCTGTTATCCATCCTATCTCAAAAGGTTTGGGAGAGACAATGAAAGAAAGAAACAAAGAATCCCCACATGATCATGCAAAAACACTCATCTTCTTTCATCATCATTTTCATAATGGATTGAAAATTGAATATCTCACTGAGAAAGATCCACAAGCTCTTTCGAAAAAAATAACTAAGAGATTTGATTATCAGAAGACTATAGTCCTCTCCAAAGCCCAGCATGAATGGATGAACATTTGTTTGCAAGGCTTCAAAGATGTTAATGAGTACAATTTGAACTGTTCAAAATATGTTAAAAATCAACTTTGTGCGGAAAAAATCACTAATGAAGATATGTTGGAGAAAACATTTTCCACGTTTCACGCCTCGAATGCGCTCCTACAGCAACAATATTGTGAGCGTGGTTCCAAAAAGTACTCAGAACTCATATCTTGCCTGCTTGTGGCTGAATAAAATAATGAACTGCTGATGAAAATCATGGATTATGTCTAATTGGTTCTGTACCATTGCCAAAAGCAAATAGTACTATGTTTCCTTAAGCAAATACAATATCAAGATAATAACGTGGACACAGACGTGCACATGGAATAAACCATAGATGAAATAATCAACAATGCTATCAGCAATAAGGCAATAATTTCAAAGTACACAAAGCAAACAAAAGTAGTACATCCAAAAAGGAACACGAACAAAGTTGCTTTAGATGTAGAATGAAAGGGCATTGGACAAGTATTTGTCATATGACAAAATATCTTGTGGATCTTTATCAAAAAATCAATCAAGGGAAAGAAAAAGGTGAAAATAAATTTTGCTAATTATGATGGCCCAATTGATGTGACTCATTTGGATGTCATCGATTTCTTTGCTGATCCAAATGGGAATATTGACTCTTTGATTGGGGATAGTGTAATGAAAGATATAGATTAGCTTATTTTCTATGTCTCTAGAATTTTTTTTTATTTTAGAAATTTAGTTTGAAATATATTTTTTCTTTTTGCAAAATTTGAAACTTTATTATGCTTCGTTAGTTTCAAAATATTGAATTATATTTACCCTTTTAAATTTCAATTAAAGTTCTTTTAAAATATGTCTATTTTTGTTATATTGATAAATTCATGATAGATTGTCAAGATACCTGTTTGATTGATAGTGCAACTATATATACCATTCTTCAAGATAAAAACTATTTTTTTTAACTTGACATTAGCAGAAAATGATGTTAATACGATATCAAGTGCATCAATTATCGTTGAAGGCTTCGAAAGAACTTGTGTTTATTTTACCAAATAATAAAATTTTATATAGAGACGGTGCACTTTATTCTAATGTGTTTAGTTTACCAAATAATAAAATTTTATATAGAGACGGTGCACTTTATTCTAATAAATCCAGAAAAAAATTGTTTAGTCTTGAAGATATTTGCTGTAATGGATATCATATTGAGATGATGCAAAAACATAATGTTGAATATTTTTACATAACTTCTTTTGTATTTGATCAGAAGCGGATAAAAGTCATGCACTCCCATCCGGCATATATTATAAATTTATAAAAATGGTTGATTCAAATATTGTCACGAACCATTAGTTCATTGACCCAAAAAATTTTAAACTTTGACATGGTCAACTTAGACGTCTGGAATTATAAAAATGCGTCGAAAAATAAACTACTCACACGGGCGTATTTCAAAGAACCAGAAGATTCTTTTACCTAACGATTATTCATATGTAACTTGTTCGCAAGGCTAGTCATTAGACCTTCGATTATAAAGGTCAATATTGAATCTCCAACTTTTTTGAAAAGAATTCGTGAAGCTATATATGGCTCAATACACCCACTATGTGGACCATTTTATGGTATTAATTGATTATTCTACTAGATAGTCACATATTTGCCTGTTTTTCACTAGGAATGTAGCCTTTTACTAAATTACTTGCTCAAATCATAAAATCACATGCACAATTTTCTGATTACTCAATCAAGACTATTCATCTTGACAGTGCTGGTGAATTTAGATTACAAGTATTTGATGATTATTGTATGTCAATTGCAATTGTAATTGAACATTCAGTTGAGCATGTCCATGCACAAAATGGTTTAGCATAGTTGTTTATTAAACGTCTACAACTTATTGTTAGACCATTACTTATGAAAACAAAACTCTCAACTTGTGTTTGGGGTTCATGCCATATAACAACTGTATCATTGGTTCGTATTAGACCAACTACATATTATCAATATTCACATTTTCAACTCATTTGGTCATGAACTTGATATTTCTCACCTACGAACTTTTGATTATGTTGTCCAAGTCCCTATTCCATTCCCACAATGTACTAAAATGGGTTCCCAATGAAAACTTGAGATTTATGTGAGTTTTGATTCACCATCTATTATTAGATATCTTGAGTCTTTAACGGATGATTTATGTATTGCACGTTTTGCAGATCAATTACCTAATATATTTGTTGATACAAAAAAGTGACAAAGTCATATATACTATTTGTTGATATCCTTATAGGACAATCTACTGTAGCAAATGATTCTCAAATACACCAGAAGCATAGTCGACCAGTTGGTTCAAAAAACTCTACACCTCGAGAAAGAAAAACAACCAAAAACTTCAAAAGAAGTAATATTAGAAATGATTAATCAATCAAACATTGAAAATATGATTCCTAAGGAACCACAAGTATCCAAAAATAATGAGATTTCAATAAATTATATGTTATCTCATAAACTACGAAAAGAAAATAATGTTGTTATAGATAATATTTTCGCCTTTAATATGGCTTTTGATACTATGCAAAATGAGAATTCTGAATCACAATCACTTAAAAACTGTCAAAATAGAAATGATCGGCCAAAATGAAAAGAAGCCATATACGCAAAATTGAACTCTTCAGAGAAATGAAAAGTTTCTAGATCAATAGTTCGAACACTTGAAAATGTAATCCCTATGAAATATAAATGGGTTTTTGTATGAAAAATAAATGAAAATAATGAAATTATAAGATACAAAGCCCGACTCGAAGCTCAAAATTTTTCACAAAGATCAGGAATTGATTATGAGGAAAAATATTCTCTCGTAATGGACACTCACTTTTAGATTTTTAATTAGTTTGACTGCAACACAAATGCTTGATATATGCTTTATAGATGCAGTAACTCCTTATTTATATGATTCACTTGGTAGTGACATGTATATAAAAATCCCTGAAGGACTTAAAGTAACAAAAGTAAATGATACATGTCCAAGAACCATGTTCTCAATTAAACTACAAAGATGATTATATAGACTGAAACAATCCAGATGCATGTAGTATAATCGCCTCAATGAATATTTGTTGAACGAGGATTATAAAAGTGATGATATCTACCCATGTGTTTTCATAAAGAAAATAAGTATCATATTTGCAATTATGACAGTTTATGTTAATAATTTAAATTTAATTAGAACTCTTGAAGGGATCAACAATACTACTGATTATTTAAAAAAAAAATTTGAAATGAAAGATTTAGGAAAAATCAAATTTTGTCTTGGATTGCAAATTGAACATTTCGCGTAAGGATTATTTGTTCATCAATCATACACAGATAAATCTTAAAACGTTTTTATATGGATAGTGTACATCCGTTAATAGTACCTATGGTTATTTGATCATTTAATATAAAAAAATGATCCATTTCGTCAACTTGAAGATGGAGAAATAGTTCTTGATTAAGCACCATATTTTAGTACAATTGGAGCATTAACCAATCTTACAAATAACACTCGACCCGACATAGCTTTTTATATAAATCTCCTTATAAGATATAACTCTACACCAACTTAAAGATATTGGAATGATGTTAAACATATTTTTTGTTACCTAAAGGGAACTATTGATTTGTAATTATTTTATTGCCAAAAGCTAGGATCTGCTTTAGTGGGACATACAGATGCACGTTAGCTCTCTAACTCACATAATGCTAAATCACAAACGGGATATGTCTTTAAACGTGGAGGAACAACTATATCATAAAAATCTATGAAGCAATCTTTGAAAGCTACATCTTCAAATCATTCTGAAATTATTACAATCCATAAAGTAGGCCGAAAATGTATATGGTTGATGAACATGAACCATCATATACAAATATTATCATGCGAGTTAACTTCAACAAAAGATTATCCTACAATTTTATATGAAGGCAATACAGCTTGTATTGTACAACTCAAAGGAGGTCATATCAAAGGTGATAGGACGAAGCATATTTCTCTAAAATTCTTTCATACACATGAACTTTAGAAGAATGGCAACATCGATGCCCAACAAATTCATTCAAATGACAGTGTAGTTGATTTATTCACAAAAGCACTACCAATATCTAAATTCAAGAAATTAGTTCATGATATTAGAATCCGTAAACTCAAAGATTTTCAATGATCAACATAAGGGAGAATAGGTGTACTCTTTTTCCTTCACTTAGGTTTTATCCCATTGGGTTTTCCTAGCAAGGTTTAATGAAGTAGCATTTATTTTTAATACTCCAAAATAACTATATTCTTTTTTTTTTCATTTGATTTTTTGTCCCATAGGGTTTTTATCAAATAAGGTTTTAACAAGACAAACATTTTGTAATATGTCATTCAAGTGGGAGTATTGTAATGATAAGTTTATTAAGGTTTACAAGTGAATGATAACTATACCTACAGCCTTAGAAATTATTATCTTATATCTTTGATTCTACCCAGTAAATATAAGGTTTTGGTTCTTAATAAAATACACACAGTCTATTGAACTTTCTCTATTCTCTTCTCTTTTCATAACAAAAGAAAATAATTCCAAAAAATTATAATTTCTCCAGACATTTGCATTCCAGGGTCCATATTGGCTATTCCAATTCTAATTTTTCATTTAGATAATTTTGTTCTTCCAATTTTAATTTTCGCATTGAATGAAAAATATCTCTTTAATAATCATTCTTTCCTAAAACTTGGTAGCTTGTTTTTCTTTGATCATACAAATCTTTAGACGAAGATTGTAGAAAAGAAAAGGATAATTTCTCTCATAAAATGTTTAAACTCTCTTCAAGATACAATAAAAACTCCAATTTATTTCTAATTTTAGGATCATGTATATTGTACTAACACACATTTAGAATGTATTCAAGTACTCTAATAGATTTAGTATGTGTACATGAATCATAAAATAATCTTAGATCCATCTTATTCAAATCCGTTGAAAGATAATTAATGTGTAGGATCGTTATTTAATGAACCCTTCAATAATTTCTGCATTTATTGTCGTTCAGCAAAAAAATAATAATAATAAAAATAAAAATAATTATATATCGAAATATTTTAAATATAGTTGGTATATCGTCCATAAAATGATTCACATGCAGATTTATAATACATTAATGATAAATAGAACAAAAATAAAAGTAAGAAGAATTGGTTTGAGCTTCCAAACCTTTTATGTGGTGTGATTATTGATCCTCAATCTATAAAAATGAACTTTTAGATCTTCACCCTATATAAATATGTGAATTTGGATCTCTAGTTGAAGGAAACCACTGACATGGACATTAAAATGCCATGCTTATTTCATTGAAGTTAGAGGGCATAACCATCAAAAAGTTAAATGTTTCATTAGCCACTGAACTTTCCACCTCATCACGGTTTAGCCACTGAACTTAACGAAGCTTTCCAATGGCCACTGAACTTAACTCTGTTGCACTAAATTGACCACCGGACAAATTCTGTCTATGGTTGTGTCTACGTGGAGGATGGAAAAGTGATGGGGCAGTTAAAATTCTCCACATGGTTAATGTAATATGTCATTCAAATAAGGTTTTAACAAGACAAAATTTTACACATGTGAAATTAAAAAATACTTTTGCAAATTAACTCCAAAATTCCTCTCCCACCCCCATGCCTTCCCTATCCCCAGAACCCAAAACCAAGTCCATAGCTACCTCATTAGAGCCGATGCAGTAGTGGCCTTCACAAACCCTTTTACACAAATTCTATTTTATGTGTTCTACTTTTCCTACAGAAAAACACTTCCTATCACCACTAACCCTTTTACACAAATACCAATAAATAACAAATAATTATAGGGGCAGAGAGAGGGTTAGAGAGGAAAATCGTAACTCTTAATGACAGATTTTACATTGTATCTCCTTCAATTGCTCCAAAATGAAAGACCATTAACGTTAATTTTTTGCTTTTCCTAATCAATTAATTTTAGTTACAATTTTGGTTGATTATTTAAATGTTGGAGATTTTTATTTTCATGATCCCTACTCTTTTCTTTTCTTTTTTTAAGGGTCGAGAAGAAGATAAATAGGTGGCGAAGGCTACTGCTGCCGCTGACGATGATGAGGTGGCTGTGGAAGAAGGCGGCGAGTTACCTATGGATTTGGTTTCTGGTTTGGCATGGGGGGTTTTGGAGTTAATTTGGAAAAGCATTTTTAAATTTCGTATGGATAAGACTTTGTTTGGCTATTTGGCATACACGCAAGCAAATTTGTTAATTTGTGGAGAATTTTAACTGCCGTGTCACTTTTTTATCCTCCACGTAGACACAACCACAGACGGAATCCATCCGATGGTCAATTTAGTGCAACGGAGTTAAGTTCTGTGGCCATTGGGAAGCTTCGTTATGTTCAGTGGGTAAACCATGACGAGGTGTAAAGTTCAGTGGCTAATGAAACATTTAATTCACCATCAAACTAGTTTACATTTCTCCTGAAAGTAGAGTGCATTAACTTCCATATTGACGGTTTTCGCCGTATGTGGACTACAGGTCATAAAATTATGTTGTTTGGGGACTCGGGGCCTTAATTTTGAAGCAAAGTACTTGGCAATTGCAAAATTATTCATTTCCCACTGATCCCGCCCTGAAAAGTAAAGAGGACAAGACGGAGAACATGGTCACTCCCCATTCCAAATCTATTTATTTAATTTTATGTTTTTCAATTTTAATCATATAAAAAATAATAATTAATTAAACTAGACGATAAATTGAAGATTTTTTTTCACCTATCTTGCCTTCCTAAATCCCCAATAACGTAGAAATAGCTTCCTCGTTGCCACCCTATGCCGCCCCTTGTGATCCCTATAACTAATAAATGAAATGTTGCGTAATCGGACTTGATGGGAAGAGGACATGACCGATAAAACCTGACATTCATTCTGGGCAGAAGATGGACCAAGCCACAACTTCCTATGCGCTTGCTACTTTTCACCTTATTTGGCGAGCAATGTTCCTCCGCAGCGCCCAATTTTTTTCCTATAAAAGTACAATAGTATCTCTAGAGTAAAAGTTAGTTATACATATACTGAGTTTAATTGTAATTGTTCAATTACTAAGAACGACACATGGCTTATATGACCTGTCAACTTATTCTTTCATAACTAAAACTTGCAAGAGCATATGTCCCAATTCAAAAACATTTCTGATTCCTGTTCTTTTTTTCCCCTTTAGCTTACGTTTCTTGATCCATTTTGATATTCGTATGCATATAAATCTTGAAAAAAAAAGGGTATTTACTGTTGTGCAATGGGAGAGAAAAGAGACGAAAGAGAGAGAGGGGCGTTTTTGCAGATGGGTTAATTGAGGGCATGCCTGTTTTTGCTAAGGAGTTAATTGCTGGTGGTGTGGCTGGAGGTTTTGCCAAGACTGCTGTTGCACCTCTTGAACGTGTCAAGATCTTATTCCAGGTATTTATTTAGTTTTATTAATCATTGAATTGTGCGCTAATTTTTATGATTACCATGAATTGAATGTTCTTTCTAAATTATGTGGGATTATGTGTTTGTTGGGGGGATGGCCGGGGAGGTGTTTTTAATTAGAATGATTCGATTTAGCTATACCGGGCAGTGGCAATGTTGGGTTTGTGCTTGGGTTTTTCTTAAAAAGAGTTTTATAATGAACTTTTCTGGTGTTAACCTACTAAGCAGACAGAGCTTACATTTTAGTGAACTGATATTCAATCCTGCAACCTAGTGGGAGGGGTTTGGTGTCGAGAAAAGGTTTGCCTTCATAGAGCATTCGATTCTTTCCTCTGAAAGCAAAGGTTTCTGAGAATTTATGGATCTACACTTTGTGATCAGTCTCCAAAAGCTAAACATACAAGAATGTAACAAATAATTCTGTATCATACACACAAATGTGCTTCGTTTTTCTGTATTTATATGGCATCGATTTCCTGCATACACGGAAAATGAATTTCACATTATTTATTCCCTATGCTTCATTATGTATTCGTCTGTGTCAAACTCTGGCTGAGGTTCGCTTTGCACTTCTTTGGTATTCCTTGTTCAAGATGTCCAAGTAGATTATGTTCCATTTGAAGAGAAAAAACAAAAGCCTGGAATACTAAGCGAACTAAATTGCAGTCTCAACTCAAGAAAATTCTCTAGTCTCAATATAAGAAAGTATGCAATTTATTTCTACACACATAAATGAATTGATATTGATGATCAAGTTTTATAATTCTTTGGATGATGCAGATGCACAAGTGAACTCAATTTCACATACATTAGATTTTGATTCTCTTCGTCAACTTGAGATCAAATTGTGATGTCAGAGTTTGGTGGAATGCAAGTTTGTAAAGAGTAGGAATTTATTTGGTAGTTATCTCTGTGTGAGTATATATGAGAAGTGCTGCTATTAAAACGTGTGGATTTTGTACTTCGACTGACGTGTGTTATGGAGACATAGTGAAATGACTAATGCTTGTGCATCTTTATGACATACACATGGTTTTATGAAAGCTTTATAAGCATATTTTTAGGTCTTAATAAAACTTAGTTATGAGTTTCAATCATGCTTGGTGTACGTCATTGGGTACATCATTGTTTGCACTTTATCACATAGCATTATTCAATTGGACAGTTAATATAAAAAATAAATAAATAAAAAAATAAACCAATTCTTTCATCCAATTATTTGCCAAAGAGCAAATGTCAACAAAGATGTAAAAAATGAGTGTACTAATGGCATAATCCCATGAGTTCATAGCACATTCTGGCATCAAAGTTTTGCACCATTTGATAACATGAAACTATACTTTGTTTCTAATATATGTCTGGGAAAAAAATTCTATGATCATGCATTTCATATTTTTCAGATGAGACGAACTGAATTTCATTGTCTTGGACAAGTGGGAACCTTCCAAAAAATTGCAAAAACAGAAGGGTTGCTGGGTTTTTATAGGTAGAAGCTTTATCTTTATTTTGCACTTGAGCTTCTTGTTCATATAAGTTTATCTTTTCCTCAATATAAGATTTGATTGGGTTTATTCATTAGGGGAAATGGAGCCAGTGTTGCTCGTATTTTGCCTTACGCAGCATTGCATTATATGGCGAATGAAGAATACCGGAGATGGATTATACTCGGTGTTCCTGGCATCGGGAGAGGCCCAGTTCTTGATCTCATAACTGGATCATTTGCTGGAGGAACAACTGTACTTTTTACATATCTACTTGATTTAATTTGGACTAAATTGGCTTATCAGGCAAGCAGTACAAAGGCATTTTTCTTCTATTTTTTTTCAATCGAACAAGTGTAATGAAAGAAATGAGATTTCTATTCCGTTTTATAGTTTCATAAATTTTGATTACTAGTTTCTATACGATGCTACAGGTTATTGATTCCTCGAAACTGAACATCAAAGGGCTTGTTCCTACAGAAAAAGTTTATAAAGGAATATGGAATTGCTTCTCAAACATTTAGCAGGAGGCTGGAATAAGAGGCCTCTACCGTGGAGTGGGTATGTTGCAGTATACCTACAGTTCTGTTTAAACTTTCTTGAACTCTTATTTAAGCTTGTGCCTTGTGCTTCCAGCTCCGTCCCTGTATGGGATCTTTTCATATGCTGGATTAAAATTTTATTTCTACGAGGAAATGAAAAGTAACGTCCCTGAAAATCACAAAAAGGATATAACTGTAAATCTTGTGTGCGGATCTATTGCTGGTTTACTGGGTCAGACTTTCACTTATCCTCCTGATGTTGTCAGGCGGCAAATGCAGGTAATTTACATGATCTCTACTTCATTGAAACATTTGTACCGTCCTCAATCTGAATTCAGAATGATAGAGAATAATCTGGCAGGTCCAAAGGCTCCAAACATCTAGCAGCAGTGATATGAAAGGAACAATGAAAACTCTTATCATGATTGTTCAAAGACAAGGATGGAAACAATTATTTTCTGGACTTAGCATCAACTATCTGAAGGTAAATATGAATAATTTTTATTTTTTTTTGGCTTCATTTTTCATTTATTTCCATTCATTTGAAAAACTTCAACTATGGAATATGCGTCAAATTCAGGTTGTACCCTCAGTGGCCATTGGATTCACTCTTTATGATGTTTTGAAGTCATTTCTACAAGTTCCACCACGAGATGAAACAGGGAAAGTTGCTTGAAAAGATATTCAATCGTCCCTTCATTCTGCTGCATCCTTATCTCAGTTAAATCTTTCGATGCTGCCTCCACAATTATTATTGAAGTCTATTCCCAAATACCGGGATCATTTAGGTTGTACGTTCTATTTTTTCTGCAATATAATATCGACGTATTAAAGTTGCAAATGAATCCCAATACAGAGGGGTCACAAATGAATCTCAATACAGAGGTTAACAATTAATCGACATTTTTGGTTTTGTTCAACCTTAGTTGATTTTGTAGTAAATTGACACTTCAGTTGAATGATCAAGACAGTGTATATAAGAAACAAGAATGTGCCATTAAACATTGTCTAAATGAAAATAGTTTCTTCATGAAGAAAATTTTAATACGTGACAGTGTTCAGGATCATGTCAACATGTGAATTTCGAGTTATTTCCGTTTCCGTGTAATTTAGAGTTCTTCTAATTTCGCCTATATTAGGCATTATTATTTTATAAATATTCAATGCATTATTATTGTATAAACATTCAACTTTGATTTGTGTGAATTAATTTGAAGTGAGGATTCGGTGTTTTTTATTTTTGGGGCGGTCAACCCTAAAATCTTGGTTCTTGATCAAGAAATCATTGGGTCAAGGTTCTAAGATCTAATTTTAGCTTTCTTGGAGTGTGTGTATATCAAATCTTGTTGTGGGTTCCAAAGTTCAAGTAAGTTGATACCAGAGCTTTGGCTCTAAAATCAGGTTTTATTCATTTTTCTTTCCATTCTATTTTTCGTTGCGTCTCTTGTTTCCCGAGTTTCATTACAATCTTAGTCATTTATCTCAAAATCGTGCCAAGAATATTCAAGAATTGATTAATGGACAATCCCTCAACCATAGTGCAACAATGTCGATTTTTCTGGTTTGGTGCTTGGTGAATACTCTATTCCTTTAAGCTGATTGCACAAAGTACGAAAATTTCGAGAAAAGGACATAACCAACCATCTTACCAATCTCAAGAGTTCATCAAAATTTCAAGAAAAAATGCATTTTGCAACATGTAAAATGCAACATTCATGGCAACGGTCAAGCAATCTCAAAAATATACATATAATTTTGTTGGTTAATTTGAAATTGTTGTATAAAGAGGAAAAAAAAATAAATATGGCAACGGTCAAAAAATGTTGCACAAAGGTTATAAATGATTTTTTATATAAATAGATAGGAAGCAACAACGGGCAAAGAATGTTGTGAAAACATCAATGACAACGGGCAAAAAATGTTACTAAAACATCAACGACAATAGGCAATAAACATTGCTAAAACATCAATGATAACACTTATTGAATGTTACGAAAATATCAATGGCAACACACAATGAACGTTGCTAAAGCTTTAACGACAACGTGTAATGAACGTTACAAAAAGTTTTTTTGCAACGATCTTTGAATGTTGTCATATTCATCTGTTCTACAGCAACGTTGAAGCCGGCAACGTACGTCCAAACATTGCAAAAGACGTTTTTGGTGTAATGAGCAAAAAATCAAATCCAAGAATTCTTCAAAAATTCAAGAAAAATATAAACCGGTTTCAAGAAATCTTTTCCTAGAATTCTTGTGGTGTTATTTTGTAAGAAATACATTATTACTATTGTTTGGCACATAAATCATAAATTTCGTTCTGCTTGTGATCTGTATTCTTGAGTCCTTTCTCATTTTTTGTTGTCCTTCTTATTTCTTGAGTCTCGTTGGTTTAAACATTACAAAGATTGAATTCTTGATTAAGTTTAATTAGTTCCTTAAAGAACTTGATAAGGAAAGCAAAGAGAGGGGAAAAAAGCAATAGTGGTAAGCTTATTTTCAGGAAAAAGTCACTAGAGTGAAACACGTGAGATTGTTTTTCCTAGTTATTAAAATTCTGTTCGTTAGCCGAAATTGTCCAAGAACAAAGATTTAACATATAGGAAGGAGAATCATCAATTCTTTATGTTGAAAGCCATGCAACAACAATTTTAAGTGGATGAATGTGGTTTTTGGAAAAATTATGAATAGAATGGATAGGCAAGATACAACAATTGTAAATTTGCAACAAGAACAACTACAAAGAGTCCCTAGTCGTAGGAGGTAAGGTAGGCGTGATCCCAACTCATGGTATGAATTTAATGATGAGAATGAAGTGGAAAGAGAGAATGAGTATGACCAGGTATCTATGGTTGAATTGGGTAGGATGAGGCTAGAGGAAAATTAAATTGATCTTATTCATTCTCAAATCCTCAACTCAACGAGATATTTAACATATTTAATTGATATCACCCAATCGTAAATCATATAATTATTAAATTCACAAAAAAATATATATATACAACCTTATCAATGAATTTAGATGAAATACTCGACAATCAAGTGAAATTTAATTATTCGTATGATCATGCTATAAAATTAAACTCAACATGTGCTCGATTCAACACACAAATTGCAAACCCGAATAATGAATTGATCAGAATTACAACCTTCCAATACAATACATAACATTGCTATATAAGTTGTGTAACACTGTGATTCTCAATGTATGCACCCAAACTATATTATTGCAAGTGATCGTCGACATTTTAATTCACATGCTCGATAATAATAAATGCAATAAATAAATAAAATCACAATTCATTTATCATAAATTGTTATTTTATTATGACAAAATATAATATACGGACACACAATAAAAAAAAAATCTCTTTAAAGTTAATAAATTCCTTTTATAAGCTTGAATAATTATTACAAGCATCTTCAACTAGTTAGTTATGTCATTCTATCTTAAACAGTGTTCTAAATAGCACGCCAATGCGAAGTGCTTGACGCCTTATTTGTCGGTCAACGGACGTGAGGCAAGGTTAAGGCGCCTAGGAGTGCATTATTAGGGTTTTTTTTCCTTTTTTCTTTTTAACAATTCTTTTAAGTTAAAACATATAATTATTAAATAATTTATAATTATTAAATAAATTTTTTATTGATTAAAAATTTAAAATAATATTAAAATAAGAAAACAATTTTTTACGTATTTGTCTCGCCTAATCTCGCATTGCCCTTAATTTAGCATCAACGCATCTTCACGCATTACATCTTTTAAAACACTGATCTTAAACATTATGACCCCTGTCATCAAGCTATATTTTCCACAAAATTGGATTAAGATTAGGAAAATTGCAATCATAACATTACATCTTTTACTGTTAAGCAGGCATGATCTAAACTTTTTAATTTGTAGCATCCATGGTACCAAATATTTAAAAAACTCGCACCCGAAGTCCAATTTAACAAAAAATGTTAGTTGACCAAAAGTCAATGATTTGACGAAATTTTGATTAATTTTATAAGGTTAAAATGATAAATTTATATTTTCCATAATAAAAAAAATTTAAAAAAACACTACATCTTCACCAATCTCCACACACACCCACCCCATGTAAGCCCAAAAATAAAAAGGGGTATTTTAAAAAATGTCTAACTTATGGGTGGCAATTCAAAAATGTCCACTTTTAAATTTAGTATCAAACTATCTACTATGCTCTTAATGAAAAAATGAAGCAATTAATTTTTTTTTAATTTGTCGCGGATTTCGAGTAGTAGCTTCCATAAGAAGTTACATTAAAATGATATTCTCGACATTTCAAATGTCATTCTCGAGATTTGAACCCCGTTTATGTTTCAGAAATACACATGTCAAATCATAATATTTCATTCCGAAAATAATATTCACGATATTTCAAATGTTGTTCTCGATATATTAGATGTCTAGAATGACATTTCATTTCGAACATGATATTTCTCTACACTTGAAATGTAATTCTCAAGATTTTTGTGTTAATGAGAAAAATAGCATTAATTGCGATTTGACATGTGCACTTTTAAAATAATTAGGACAGGTTACGTGTCAAGATTTTATTGGCCAGTAAAATTTTTAATTGTAAAAATGTTCATTTTTGACTTTGTGTGGAATCATAAATTGTTAACAAGTGTATTTTGGTCTATATTATTCCAAAATGGACATTTTTGCTAGAATTTGCAATGTGGACATTTTTGCAAATGGATATGGGATAGTGGAGATTTCTAATAATTTCCTCAAATATTAAAAAATCAGTACCCAACCACTTCTCGACCATCGCCATCAACCCTACCAACCACCACAGCTACCTTGACCGCCACCTTCCATCTGTAATGAAACACCAAATTGAAACACCATCCATCGGGGTTCTACCTTCAATTTTGTTTATCTACACCTCTTCCAAGTCTTACCCATCAGATCCCAACGCCACATTGAAACACCGAATTGAAACAATCCCATCACCATCTCCACCAAATCCCACTCATCAGCAGCCATCCATGACAGAAGAGATTGAAACACCATCGTCACGGCTACAGCCCATAACCTAGCAAGAATCCACCAACACTACTAGCTATTGAAGAAGAAGAGGAGAAGGGCTGGCCAGATTCAGACCCAACAACTTTATTGCAATAAGCAAGTCCATATTGAGTTATAGTGAACTCACAAGTTTCAGATTCATAACCCAATGCCCAATGCTTCTTTAATGCTTAATTCATTTACTCAGAGGCAGCTCTGAGGGTGCGCAAGTTGAGCGACCGCACAGGGCCTCACAATTGTAGGGGCACCAAAAAAATTTTTTGTTATAGTTATTGATTTACTTATAATTAAATATTTATATTAATTTCAAAATATAAAATTTTTATTATTATGCGTAAGATATTAAAATTAAGAATAATGTGACTAACTAATTATAATTTCCTTGAATTTAATATTTTTAAATAGTATTCCTACAGTAAATAATGTGAGGGAAAAGGGAAAAATCGAAAAGAGATCAGGTCAGCCATAGAATTTAGATAATAAAGAAAAATTGAGCAACCGCCTTTTTCAATAATCTTTTTGGAAAAAAGAATTAAAGAAACCAACCATCTTATCCAATTGCCCCAATGATAATTGAGGCAGAGAGAAGAAAGAAAACAACCATCTTTTTGGAGAAATCGTCTTTTTCTTCAATCATCTTTGATCTAGCTCCAAAAAATCTCTTTTTTCTTTAGATAAGTTAAACTCATCGAATGATGTTAATTTGAAAACATGTTGTGATCATCTTGATATTGTTTTTAAGACATGTAATTTTTTGCGATCTTGATGATAAAGATTTATTTCAAGAGTTAAAAAGTTTTGCAAAATCTTTTACCAAAATAAATAAAGACAACTTTTGATATATTGACATATTTGAAAAGATTGGATTGCTTTCCGAATACATGTATTGCTTATATAATATTATTGACAATTCCTATTATTGTGGCATCTGCTGAAAAAAGTTTTTCAAAATTGAAATTTTTAAAATCTTATTGGCGAT